TCATTGACAGACCAGGCTACTTGCAAGACTTGCCCACGCTCTTGAGAATTCAGAAACATCCAGAATGTCGTAAAGCACTCCTCTAGCATCGTGTCGAACGGAATCACAGAATCATCGTCGTCAAAACTGTCCGCGACCGAGCCCGCAGTGCTTGCACCCTCATCGTCAACCAGAACCCAGTCCGAGCCCACAGACTCACTGTCACTCCACGACGTCGACGACATCTGCCGGCTTGCAGGGGGGCCTACTACGACTTAGACTTGAGACAGAGCAGCTGTAACACGACTATAGTAGATTACGCAGGGCAACAGCGAGCACAACTGCTGCAGCGGCAAGTTGCGATACATGACACGCTCACTGACTATGCAAGGCAGCTTGTCCTCTGCGATGGCAGCATGTCCTCAGGATCCTCGTCATGAGCCTCGGTGCCAGGACTGTACCATAATAATGGAAGTAGCTGAAGCAAGCTGATGCTGAGATCCCAGCAGTTGGCATCCACTTCTCGATGGGCTGGAAGCCGATGAAGACCGATGGGAGAGAAGGAAATGGAAGAGAAGGCGTTCACTAGGCTTGGATTCAAACCGAACACTTAGACCTGGCCAACGGTGTGGGGAGCAACCCCGATGGGGCAGGGACTTAAGTAAGGCAACCTCGAGAGGCTCGACTGGCACTCTGCCTCTGTCGATCCAAGTCGCAAGGCTCCCTAACTAACGTGACAAGCATGGATGGCCTCCCCTCCTGGTTGGGAGAAAAATAAAAAAGCCACAACCACTGGACCACCCCACCCAGCACTTTAGCCCATGTGCCCGGGTGTCATATGCCACTGCCCTGGCACGTTGGCCCCAAGGCGGTCCAGGTACCATCGACAACACCTGACACCCGGCCAACGGTGTCCACGAACCGAGATGGGCAGTCGATCCGTGTGGGTAAGGTGGCACTCTGCCTCTGTCGCTCCAAGTCGCAAGGCTCACTAACGTGACAAGCATGGATGGCCTCCCCTTCAGGGCTGTAAGCAGATTGCGAACAACACCCACTGGACCACCCCACCCGGCACTTTAGCCCATGTGCCCGGGTGTCATATGCCACTGCCCTGGCACGTTGGCCCCAAGGCGGTCCAGGTACCATCGACTCAACACCTGACACCCGGCCAACGGTGCCCACGAACCGAGAAGGGCAGTCGATCCGCGTGGGTAAGGGCAAGATCTCAAGGCAAGTCAACATGTCACTACGGCCTCCCTTCTTTGTTCAATCACAACCCAAAACTATTTAAAAAGATTAAATATTAAAAATTATTAACTTCAACAACAAATAAACAACAATTTTGTAGACATACAGCAGCAGGAAACCAGGTAGAACAACAGGAAGCCAATTGACTCACTCAGAAACAAAATTCACAAACATGTATTTTTTTACACCAAAAATAAAATAAAAGAATTTTAACAACTGTAAAACACAAAAAAACCTATTTAAAAAACTTTTAAATACAAAACAATACTTTTAAATACAAAAAAACACTTTTAAACACAAATAAAGCCAACCACATACAAAAATGAGATTTTGGGTTCCTTTCATATAAGCCTTGTTGATCTAAACCCTGTGGTTCTGGTTCGGCGCAAAGGGTTAAGGAAGCTGGCATCGCATTCAAGATCTTGTCCAAACATCTTATGGAACGAAGCCCTAGCATCGGTGACAACTTGAGGGCTGCATTACTGTTCCTAAGGGACAGATTTCTTGAAGGCCCCCCGAGGGCTCTGAGTGCCAACGTCTTGCATCTTTGGCATGTGTATGTGGATGCTTCTTGTGACAACGATCGCATCGGTCTTGGAGGAGTTCTTATCTCAGACAATGGGACGAAAGTTGGGCACTTTAGCGAGTGGGCCTCTGATGAGCTACGACTTCTCGTTGGTCCCGAAAGCAAGAACCCCATCTTCGAATGCGAGTGTTTGGCGGTACTTATGTGCATGCACGTTTGGAGAGGACTCCTTAAAGGATGCAACACTGTCGTTTTCTCGGACAACGAAGGCACTCGTGCCTGCATGATCAAAGGAGCCTCCGACAACTCCGTCGGGATGCGTATCGTGGATGCCACTCATGATGCCATCGACGCAGCATGTTGCATACCTTGGTTCGAAAGAGTCAATACCGCGTCGAACATTGCAGACGACCCATCGCGAGGAATCACAGATGAAAGCCTTGGTCGGCGATTCGAAGTGGATGCGCTGAGCATCGCAAAGTCTGCATTGGTTCCGTGGGGATGAGTCAATTGCTGACTATCCGATGTGTGCATTGCGAATGCACCGTGCATGATGTACTGCTGTACATCTTGCAGAGCATCGTGGATGCTCGGTGGAGGGACCATTTCACTTCGTCTCGACTTCTCGGAATTCCCCGAGCGACGGCTTTCGCCAGACCTTTAAAAAAGAGTGTGTGCCGCGCATCTGAATGAGCTTTATATCTTCATTTGCAACACATACATTGATTTGTGATTCCGAATCTTATTTGAGTCGAATATATTTCGCTCCAGAAATATATGGTGATATGGTGGGAACATACTGAAACAGAATTTGGAAATGAGCCACCCTTCAATCGTGATTGACAGGGTTTTATTTCCAAATTTTGTTTGAAAGGAAAAACGGGAGTTTTTCCTTTTGTTTCCCTCTTCTTTTGCAACACGTGTTTTGAACCAACGATTTCTCACATGCTTGTTGCGACAAACATCATTTCAACATGTTATGATGAAAGCAACTCGCAGCTTGCCGAATCAAGTCGGAAAAATTTTGTCCCGCCCGCCCTCCCCGGGATGAGTCAATTGCTGACTATCCGATGTGTGCATTGCGAATGCACCGTGCATGATGTACTGCTGTACATCTTGCAGAGCATCGTGGATGCTCGGTGGAGGGACCATCTCACTTCGTCTCGACTTCTCGGAATTCCCCGAGCGACGGCTTTCGCCAGACCTTTAAAAAAGAGTGTGTGCCGCGCATCTGAATGAGCTTTATATCTTCATTTGCTACACATACATTGATTGGTGATTCCGAATCCTATTTGAGTCGAATATATTTCGCTCCAGAAATATATGGTGATATGGTGGGAACATACTGAAACAGAATTTGGAAATAAGGGATTTTGGAAGGTTTGGGTAGACAGACGGCTGACAAGGTCCTTTATGTTGAGGACTAGAGCATTATATATAGCAGCTTAATATGTGCATCCCTAGCTTTCCGAACCTCCCATGTTGGTTTCCTTTTCGCTTTGCTTCGACTAGGTTGGGCTTTGGGCTAGAGCAGTTTGCTTCTCGGGGTCAAGGGAATGGCAAAAGATCAAACCCAAACCAACAAGTTGGCGGGCTTTTGTCATTCAAACAACAAGTTGTTCCGTAGTCACCACATAAGCCCAAATACGTTTTACAAGCCTTAAAACTTCAAGCTCTACAGCTCTACATGTCAAGCTCTACCCCAAGCCCTAAACCCCAACACTACAGAACATGTAAACTCCCTTCGACTTGCACGGAAACCCTACAAAGCCAAAAGCCCAAAGTCAGAAACATAAGATATCCCCAGTACTCTTAAAGGAACCTTTGTAATACCGTTAAAAGGAATACCCAACACCTTCAACAGGAACCTGAGCCCGAGGCTTGCTGCTGCTATTCCGTTGTCATGCAAAGGTGGCGATCCAAAGACCGGGTTTAGGGTTTGGGTTTAAGGAGGCCTCATAATCAGGGTTTGAGCAGATAATTTTTCGAGGGTTTGTCAGGGCTTTCCTTTAAATTTAAGGGGATACATGGGGTTGAAGGCTTTTTAAATTTCGGATCCTCCCGGAAACCTTAAACACATATGAGGCACTTGCCACATCGATTTTGATATAGCCGCTTGCCCTGCGAAGCATTCCAGGAAATCCATGTCCTGCACAAGGCGTTCTAAACAAGTCTTGTCCTATCCACAGTAGCGCTGCCGTATCCCTGTTCCATGAGTAGTGCTGCCGTATCCCTGTTCCATGATCAGTGGTAGTGAACATATCTTCTTGAATATTTGATGGCCTCTGTAGCTAGCACTGTAAACCCGAAACATACTGCAGTCCTCTCTGACAGTCTGAGGTTCACTTTCTTGTTTAGCTGGAGCAGGATGACACATAGCATAAGCACCGGGGGGGCATGCCATTGGAGCAGCTCTGCCACCACCATCCTCGCAATCTAGCTAGAGTACTTGCGCACACCTATACCAGACCACTTGCGGAACCAGCTTGGAGGTTGCTCACACTGGACATGCATAGACACGCTGCGCATGCTGCCACTCGAAACAGCAGTGACGGTGCAAGCTGTTGCATGGCACATTTCGCGAATCCTCGAGCAGCTCGTGTCTGTAACTTTTAATGTAGCCCTAGGCCTGACGGTCCAAGATCGAGCTATTCAGCAGAAAGGCACCATCGAAGAATGAAGACTACATGTAGAGTTATTGGGACCCACATACTCAGACCTAGATTGCAACGAATTGAGGTCCGAATTTGTGCTGCGGCGGCGATGCGCAGGCGAAAGCTAGGCTATATACGGCCGCAGTCATAGATTGAATTTAGCGCCCCCGAGAATTAAGTGCAACATGTTCAGTCGAACTGAACTCGCAAGCATTCTCACAGCCTGGCTGTATATCCAGTATACCGACCTCTATCAGGCTAGGGATTAACGGGTCTTGTAGGTTCATGATTATAAATAGAGGGTATATTAAGCTTTGAGCTATGCCCTATAGGAGGCAGCGGGGGCTTCGGGTGGTTTAGGGCTTGTGGGTTAATGTAGGAATTCGAGGGTTTGGGTTTTGGGGGCTAGTTTAAAGTTCTGGGGTTCTGGGTTTGGGGTTGACGTAGTGTTTAGGATTTGGGGGTTATAAGGCTGAAACTTGGGGGGTGATGCTTAGGGAATCCCGCCACAGGCTGCGAAGAAGCTTGCGCTCTGGAACTTCGTGCATGAGGCAGCTTCCAAAAAACTAACCCCATGCCCAGTGCTTCAAAGTTCATCGGTATGGGTGGACCAAACACCCTTTGGGTGCAAAACGTCGTCTCTTCAACTCGGCAAGCGGCATGTCTGCTAGGAGTTCCATGCGTTCTGGACACTTAAGCCAATAGCGATTGCCTGTCTGGAAGCTCGCCTTAGGGAACATTTCTTGGAATCGCTTGATGAACACGTAGCGCTTGCAAGCATACAAACCCGCTTTGTACTTGCCGAAGACATTGGGCTTCTTCTTGATCTTCGGGGCCTGGGTTTCATTCTGCATCGGGGCCTCACTGGATCTGGCTTTCTTGGGCTTGCTCTCAACCAGGGCCTCGTTGGATCTGGTTCTCTTCGTTGGCTTGCTCTCAACCGGGGCCTCATTGGATCTGGCTCTCTTCACTGGCTTGCTCTGAACCGGGGCCTCATCGGATGTGGCATTCTTCACCTTGGGATTGCTCTGAAGCCGCATGGTTCTCTTCGTATTGTGGTTCTTGTCGTCGAAGCCCTCATCGGATGAGGTATCCTTCCCGGTGGGCAGGTGCTCGACAAGCACATCCACCAATTGCGAATCGGATCTCATTTTCTTGGAAGATCTGACTTTCTTGGACTTGACCTTCTTCTTCTTCTTGTTGTTCTTGCTTTTCTTGGGAGCCGTGCCCGGAAGGCTTAGAGTCTCATCAGACATACCATCATCTTCCCCATCTTGTGCCCTGGGAACCATGTCATCTTCACCACCCTCTTCTGCTCGAGCTTTTCGCTTGCTCGCATACTGCTCGCAGGCCGCAAACGGCGCTGGGGCTTCCACCGCAACCAGCGAATTGAGCACCTGGAGTATACGGTGGGGAAAAAAGTAAAGCGAGTACATGTGATATGTAAGGTGTAGATAGCTACTTTAGATGGCCTGGCAGTTTAGCTAGACCCGGATCACGACACAGCCCTAAGCAGGACAACTTCGCAACATAGCCTTAGATTTCGGTTGAAATGTAGCATGTATAGATGGGTTGACATATCTATTTACATAGTCGAAACAATAGATATGGACATCGGCATATAGATACCCCAGACATCATATATATATATATATATATATACATATATATATATAAATGCTCACCCCCCCCCCATGACAGACCGTCGTGGGGAAGGGGAAGGGTGGCGTGCGTCCCCAGGCAGGATCTGTCAACGGATAGGCGACAGACACTTCTCCCAAACTCAATTCCAAAATGTTCTTTTAGATGGTTTGCAATTTTTGGAAATTTTTTCACACGCATGCAGCGCTCCTAGTCCCAATCTTAATCTCAATTCTGCTCTTCGTACCACTATTACTGTTTGTAGATCTTAATTCTTGTATCAGTGTTAGCATTAGTATTAGTTTTGTGGTAGTATTGATATTAGGATGTTTAGTATGAGTAATAGTATTCGAATTAGTATTACTCTTAGTATTAGCATTAAGTATGTGTATTGATGTTAATAGTAGTAGTCGTCGTACTAGCAATAGTTGTCGCACAGCAGTAGTAGTGGTAGCATTAGTATTGGTATTTGTATTAGTATTAGAATGAGTATTAGTATTAGTATTAGTGACTAGTATGAGTATCAGTATTAGTTTTAGTATTAAGTATGTGTACTAGTAGTAGTAGTAGTAGTAGTAGTCGTAGTAGTAGCAGTAGTAGTAGCAGCAGTAGTGGTGACATTAGTATTGGTATGAGTATGAGTATTAGAATTAGTAGCTAGTATTAGTACTAGTATTAGTGTTAGGATTAATATGTATTGTTCTTGGTTCTATTCTTAGTACTGCTGTCATTGTTTGTAGTAGTCCTAATCCTGGTATCAGTGTTCATATGAGTAATAGTTTTGTGGTAGTATTGATATTAGGATGGGTATTGCTTTAGTACTAGTATTGGTATTGGTATTTAGTATTAGTATTAGCATCAGTATTAGTATTAGTATTGAATAAAAGTATACATATCAATAATAGTAAATATGAACTCGTGATTATGTTCGTGCTGGTGTTAGTGCCAGTGTCGATGTCAATGTCAGTAATAGTACTCGTGTTAGTATTAGTATCGGTTTGAATGCTGGTTTCAGTATCTGTTTATTATTCACAGAAGTGCTGGTATTAGTATCAGTAATAGAAATAGTTTTGATATGTGAATATACTGATTGATTCGTACATTTTGAGCTTAATATAATAATACAGTAATGTATTCGAACAATAGTATATTTGCAGAGTTGAAGATTGCGCGAATATATTAGTACGTTGGTGCATGAGTACATTAGTATATTGGTGTATCATGATATTCGTATGTTAACGTAGTAGTATATTAGTATATTATTATAGTGGTCTATTACTACATTTACTATATTCGTATTTTCCCTAATAGCTTATAGGTATATCAATATGTTGGCATAATGGCATGTGAACATGTCAGTGTACTTGCCTTTTACAGTATTCGTATATTAGTACACTAGCATATTTAGTGATAATTAGTGTTGATGCCAGTGCCAATGTCGATGTCAGTTTTAATCAGTCTTAATGATGAATTTAACATCAGTGTAATATTCGCGGACGTGCTAGTATGCGTATCAATACTATAATTAGTTTTGATATATTAGTATACTGATAGATTATATAAACAGCTTAGTATACCAACACATTATAATGTATTCGAACAGTAATATGTTTGTATACCTGCATGTTTGTATGCTCTTAGTATATTAATGCATGCGTACGTTCGTGCATGAGTACATTAGTATATTGGTGTGCTATTATCTTCGATTATTAACATATTAGTGTATGAGTATCCTGGTATGCTACTTCATTTATCATATTCGTATATTATCTAACAACTTTTTTGGTATATCCATATGTTAGTATACCATTGCCATGTGTCAGTGTACTTGCATATTACAGTATTCGTGTCTTAGCAAGTTAGCATATCAATACAGTATAATCAGACGTTAACAAGTAGTATATTGTCACGTTGGAAACTGGGTATATGACAAATTAAATACGAATATACTACGTTAGTACACGAATGCATTGATATATTTGCTTTTCAGATAGTGGTATGTATATCTGCGGACATTAATATACGCAGGTGTCTGTTAGTATTGGCATTAATATCAATATGAATATGACTATTGGTAGGCGTAGGAGTATTAATGTTAATAATAGAATTAGTAATGTGCATATTCGAAATGAAAGCATTAATATACATGTCAACGTTAGTGTTAAAAGCACTACACAGTAATCTTACTTGAGTCATATATAGAGCAGATTCCAGCATTTCCAAAATTTCCAAAATTCTCTCCCCTAACTTTCCGGATTTCCAAAATTTCCAAAATTTCCAAAAATTTCCAAAATTTCCAAAATTTCCAAAATTTCTAAAATTTCCAAAATTTCCAAAATTTCCAAACTTTCCAAAATTTCCAAAATTTCCAAAAAGTCCGCCCTTATGTTTTGGAAAAATCTGTCGACTAGGTCGGGAAATTTTGGAAATTTTGGAAATTTTGGAAATTTTGGAAATTTTGGAAATTTTGGAAATTTTGGAAATTTTGGAAATTTTGGAAATTTTGGAAATTTTGGAAATTTTGGAAATTTTGGAAATTTTGGAAATTTTGGAAATTCTGGAAATTTTGGAAATTTTGGAAATTTTGGGAAATTTTGGAAATTTTGGAAATTTTGGAAATTTTGGAAATCTGGAAAGTTAGGGGAAAGAATTTTGGAAATTTTGGAAATTTTTGGAAATGCTGGAATCTGCTCTATATATGACTCAAGTAAGATTACTGTGTAGTGCTTACTATGTAGTGTGTCAGCACAACCCTCATCCATACACGTGTGCTCTGTAATTCCTTTCTTGGTAGGACACCCGCGCGCCTTATCGTGCTGCTTTCTGGTCTCAGTCTTTTGGTGGTTCCAGGGATACGTTCGGAGGGCTCAAACTCGATACTCCGGAAAAAACACGAACAAGCCGGTGGGAGCGATGTTTTAAAAGGGATGGTCTGTCATGGGGGGCGGGGTGACCATATAAATATATATAGAGAGAGATATGATGCATCTATAGTACGTTCTTGTGCAGTGGGTATATATGCATCAGGTAGCAGAACCCTCAATAGGAGTCACCGCAAGTTAGGGCTACACGGCCTGACATAAGCTTTTCTTACGGGTTCAAAATACGGTGAAGAATGCTGTGTTGGTTAGGGTGAAAACTTTCATCCAATCTATAGGGTCTTGTAACCGAAAGCATTAATGAGACCTGAACCCTAGACCGCCTAGACCCAGAATGGTTGAATAGAAGAGGAAATATCGAAAAGGACCCGGGAATAATAGTTACATCAGGCAACACTTCAATAGAACACCCGAACTCCGAACACCAGGCCTGATTACCTACCATAAGTTGTTCATGTCTCTCAGCGAACACATAACCCAACTCAGCAGCACCCCAAACAACCAACTAGCAACAACATGTCCTACGAAGTCCGAAGCCATCAAGCCGCAAAACCACTGAAGAAACCCATCCCAAAACACCTACACCTAGACACCCCGAACAGCCACCTCAAGCCAGCGGATCGTGAGCAAGATTTTCAGACTATTGATAAACTCTAAAAAAAATGAAGGTTAATTGCACCTCATCGAGATACCGTGCCCCCAAGAGAACCCGAACTAATCCCATCGACCGCTTCAATCGAAGTCAAACTTGGCAGTCTGCAACGCGCTGTACCGGATCGAACACCGGATGCTGGTTTAAGAGAAAATAATATAATGACTTTTCGGCTATGGCTCGTGCTCGCAATGCAATAGAAGAAAAGGTACATCATGTACTGTTTGCTTAGGACATTGGCGGCAATGTAGCTTTATTAGTCTGCAGGAGGATACAATATTTGATCAGGGTTGCTGCTATATAACATATTCCTCGATAGTCTCTTCGACTGGAAATTCACTCCATGTCACATATACTTTGTGTGTGCCTGCAGGTTCTTTAACATTGCCTGGTTTTGGGTCAGCTGGACTGGCTTTGGAGAGCTTGAATGCTGATTTAGGATTGGGAGGTAAGCATACAGGACTTGGATTTGGGTTCCAATTTAAAGACTTCATCACCGATGAAACATACATACATACATACATACATACATACATACATGTTTTCTTACAAATATGCCCTTGCCGCAGTAACTAGGATGCCGCCGCAAACAACTTCAAAGTGCGGCCTTAGATGGACTTGTACCAACTATATAGTGGTTGAAAAACTCCCAATATTTTACTGTACTGCGAATGAGCACAATACGCATCTACATCATCGAACCCTTGGTGATATCCCTTGGGCTGAAATTCTTATGGCCTCATGAAGTCTCAACCTTGAAACTTAGACCACACCCCAAAGTCCGAAGTTACCTTTGATGCTGGTCCCAGCAAGCCCCATACCAATATTCTTAAACGAGGCACGAAAGGTGGAAGAACACCATGGTAGGACGATGCATGCTCGGATTTCAAAGTGGCATCCGGAGCGGAGGCTTTCGAAGGCGAGCACTTGATTTGCTTCATGGCCCGAATTGTTTCACGAACCTTGCTCGAAGGTCCCCCTTCAGAAACCTTCGATGAGGCTTTAGAAGTGCCCGAGGTTTCAGCTTTCGCGAGTTTAGCATCAACCTGTAACTTCAATTCTCGAAGCTGGTTTACAACACGCGACATCTTCCGATCACTTGCAGACGACAGTAAACTGCTAGCAGAACCGCTAGCACGAGACGCTCGCGACAACGTCGACGGTGTTGCCGTCGAAAGCTCGGAAAGAGTGTCGATGTCACCCGAACCATCTTTCTGGGGCTCCTTAACAGTTTCGCACTCGCCCGCATATTTGTAGATGCATTTAAACACACATACACACAAACATTCAAGCAACTTACTGACCCAGCTTCTGGTCCGAGTTCACTCAAACGAGCTCTTAAATCTTTGAGGCTCTTCAATTTCGAATCATCTGCTCTCTTGCAAAGCCTCCTCATACGGGAAACCTTACACCACCAGGACGTGCATGAAGCTATATGATCACTGCAACATCGCGACCGTACACATAAGGGCGTGACGAGTCGTTTCAATCCGAACCCCATCCGCAAGGCCCAGTCCATGACGCAAGGGAGCTCCGACACCAATCCAGGAGGATACAACTTGTTCGTACTATAGAACGTCAAGACGGCCTTTTGAATCGCATACGCAGACATGTAGCCCTTCCCATGGTAGGCCTTCATGACAGCAAAGACAGCCTGCCGACAATTTCGGATCTACTGTATCCATACTGCACGATGTAAGTACAACATAAACCTTACCTCGGAGTTGCACGCAACGTCTCGAAGGGTGGGTGGTTGTTTGGTGAACACTCGGCCACTGTGATCCACGATGAACGCCAACCCGACCTCGACAAAGGGAAGGTAAAGCTAGCCCATTATAATTTGCCCACATGTGTTGGTACAACCTTCGGGAACCGAGTGAACACATATGAGTCACACGTCTTGGTGGATAATTACATGCAACCACGTACACGATCCGAACACCTACAAAACACACGCACACACACATACACAAACACGCATGCACAGTATACACTGCATACGTGCACTGCGTGAGGAAAAACAGTTAAGCAATACCAAAGAAACGGACAGGCAACATAAGTAATAGTGCGCGTAGAGACCTAAGCAAACACACTCACATGCAGACACACACGTACATGGTAGAAGCCCCCGTGTACATCTGCACCTTGTAACTTCAAAGACCTTTCGGACAAGGCTCTTCTTTCAATCTCGGCTCAGCCGCAAAGCAAGCGGCAATCGAAACATGAATGTCGGGGTTAGCCGCATTGGACATGGCGCTTCGACCCATGGTCGAAAGTAGGGGCACAGGCAGCAGAGCCTAAGCTATAGCACCATTTACCAAATCACTCAAGATCCATAATATATGCGCCGGTCCGACATATTATTAGACATTAGACTTCGCACACTGCTCATGCTGCATGCCGTCCAAGATCTGCAGTAGGATGCACAGGTGCAAACGATCATGCATCCAGCAAACTCTGCATGTGCTGTCGCAGACGTGAACATGCACAGAGCAGTCGTTAACCCGATAATGGTGGAAGGGCGCACCTCGAATGACGTGTCGTAGCCGCTGGCCCTGGCACATGCACATGCACTGACCAGTACATGCGTGGTATATCGTGCTTTTTTTTTTTGAAAACATGACAGTCGCACATCAGCCCATATGTGTCATGAGCAGCGTGCCATGGCTGCGAAGAAGGCAAGCCACGGAGCTTCGAAAACGTTCGGAATAATCTCTAGGACGACAAGTCCGGCAGTTAATGGGTACCATTAATTCAAACACCATACATATATATAGTGCTGTCCCGCAGAAACAATACAAGCACGGCATTCTGCTGCAGGCAACGTCGAACACAGGCCGGATTGAGAATCCCCCTGCTGCGGCTCGCACAAGATCCTCGCAGAACTGAAACTACTCAATGTCACCTGCAGCTACACTGTTCAAAATGACCGAAGCGACATATGCATGCACATCAGTACATGCCAGCCGTGCAGCTGACTGGCCGGGCCAGTCTCCAATAACAACACCCTTGCAGAGCAACCACAAAATCTGTCATACCTCAAGTAAGTACCTACTTGGAAGGGCGAGGGACTTAGTAAGTAGGTTGTACGTAGAGTTGTAAGTACCCTAGTTTAAATGGAGCTACCCTAATTAAGACCCTACTTATGAACGACTTACTAAGTCCCCTGCCCTTCCAAGTATAGGAATATTTGGAAACTGCATGAAACAAATGTTGCCAATTCCAATCACCCAGCTGTACCCGAAGGCATGTTTACGGCAACGCACAAGCCGATCCAACAACAAAGACATGACCACAAGCCTTCCATACTTACCAGGGCAGCCTTGAGCTTGCCTCTTATGGGGGCTCAGTGGGCTCTATCTCGATTTGCCCCAGCAGGCACTTTAGCTCATCTTGCCCTGCTGTCATGCGCCAGACCCAAGCGCGTTGGCTGAAGGCACTCGAGCTTTAGCCAACATCCCCAGTTGCCCCGGACCCCGGCCAGCGAATCCAACACAAGCCTGCATCCATACAAAGATGGAAGTGGGCCCAGGCATTATGCTTGGTAGGGCTGAGCAAGAATCAAAGGAGTCGGCCACCAATCAAAGGACTCAGCAACCGTCCACCAGGCATGCACATACAGAACCATGTCTCCTGACCATATGCATGTGATATATATATATATATATATATATATATATATATATATATATATATATATGAGTGTGTGTGTATGTATGTATATATACACACCATATATATATATATGTGTGGATAGAGGTAATACGTGTACATTATACAAGTAATGGTAAATACTATATATCTGTAGGATATACATATATATACATATACATATACATATACATATACATATACATACACATATACATATACATATACATATACATGTACATATACATATACACATACACATACACATACACATACACATACATATACATATACATATACATATACATATACATATACCTATACCTATACCTATACATATACATATACATATACATATATATATATATATATCTACGCACATATATATATACACACACACGCACACACCCGACATATTGCCCGACATATTGCATGTATATATGAATACACATGTATATATATATATATATATATATACATGTGTTATAATATGTAAGTATATTACATAGTATATAATATACTACACACAATATATATATAGATGTGATAATATACTAAGTTCATGTAAGTGTGTGTGTGTGTGTATGTGTGTGTACGTGTGCCTACCACATATTCTGTATCATGTTCAGCATGAGTACCTTTGGAACACGTGTCTTGCTTAAGGTTGGGGAATCGAGCTAGTTTTTTCCACACACATTCGAAACATAGAATTCTGTCACAGTGCCTGTACAATCGAGGAAAACAGGCAACCATCTGCATCCAGCGTTGCCAAGCACTCATCAGGAGCATCAGAGCAAAATAGCTGTTCAACTTCAGCAAAGCTGTTTTGGTGCTGAAGTGTCCACATCAAGAGCATCATAAGAGACATGCGGAAGCAGCATTTGTATTTTCCCGGGTGATCCCGGGAATTCCCGGCCCAACTGGTCCTAGAACGGTTTTCCTGGTCATAGCGGTTTTTCCCGGTCTTACGGCCGAACGTTCCACGTACAAGCTTTATAAGGTCACCAGGTTGTCCAGGTAGAATATATGCACAGGGCAGGGTCGTTGTTGATGTGTTTCGGAATTAGCCTCTGACTCTAGAAAGGAAGTAACTCAGTCGGCGCGATCCTTATTCCTCCTCCCTTGCGGGCATGCATCAAAGATCAAAGCAGGCGTCGCGCGCTTTTCGAGTTCACGGCATGGCGCTTCCAGTCGACATCTGTCGGATCTCCTGAACCATCCCATACAGCACCGAATCTCAATCCGGATCAACAGGTGCCATGGAAAAGAATCCGACGTTGCAAAACATGGCCTCTACATGATGAGACATCGGCACCATCCTAGACTACGCATCTTTCCATTCCGGAGCGACGCGTGCCACGGACAGCGATCCGACGTTGCCGAACACCAGACAGCACATCTTTCCAATCCGGAGCGACATGCATCCGCCCGATATCCGAGCAAAATTTCTCCCGATGTTCATCGGTCCGGACGAAACACCGATCACCAGCTGGAGATCGCGTCTCCGCTCCGATCGAACGCATCAGACGAGAAAAACAAACAATTAAAAAGAAGTATACACACAGAATCCATGCACCACCGATTAACGATCCAACGCCGGATCGTCCAGGTGGGCAGCACCGAGCAGCTCAATGAGCTCCGCTTCTGCCTGCCGAAACGCTGCCGAAGGCTCCGCTTTGGGCTTGGCCCGCGGATGAGCTCCAGCGCGACCAGCCTGATACGCCGCGATCTGAGCGGGGGTCGGCGGAGCTTTGGTCGCCGGAGGCGAGCTGCCCTTGGGCACCAGAATCTGGGTGCCTTCAGGGAGTTCCTGACCCGGTGGCAGCTGATCAAAGCCTCTGTTCGAAGTGCCTGGTCTGGGACCACATAGTGCACAGGACCAGCGAAGCTCGGAGATGAGGATCCACATAAAAGACCCACTCATCAAAGCCTCTGTTCGGAACGGCTTCATGAGCACCAGGCGGTGGAGCCTTCGGCACCGGCCCGTGATCATGGCCAGCCGGTTGGGGTCGATCGCGATCGCGATGGGCTGGCGGCGTCACCCAAGGGATCCCTCGACAGAAGCGGCGCATGTCGTGCCTGCGATCACAGGCGGTGCAGAGCGGCGTACGCTGATTGTCGGCCCATTGTTCGCTCGGCACACGATCGGCAGCGAAGCAATCCTCACTGTCGCCGTCACAGTAACTTCCCGTGTAGAGCCCACAGTCTACGCAAGGCCGACAGAGCTCATTGTAGGAGCCGTGCGCGAGCGCCTGTAATCCAACCGGATTCTGAAATCGTCGACGAGGATCAGCCATGTCCAAAAGGCGGAGCGGATGAGATCAAAAGATGCAGGCCAACCAACTTAGGTCCAAAATTGCTGCGGGCAAACCAATGTCACACGAACAAACTGACAGCTGACAGAACCACCAGCCGAGTTCGCAAGCTCTCAGAAGAAGCCTTTTGTTTGCCAATTGACGCAGAGGCTGCTGCAAACAGACAACGACGTGTGTCCTAGAGTCCTAGAGACATCACATCTCTGCAATCCGGATCGACAGGTGCCACGGATGTTGATCCGACGTTGCATCACAGGGTCTGCACATGATGAGACATCGGCATCGTCATAGACAGCACATCTCTCCAATCCGGATCGACATGCGTCGCTGACGGTGGTCCGTCATTGCATCACGTGGCCCCTGTCTACGAGACGAGACGTCGGCACCGTCCTCGACAGCACATCTCTCCATTCCGGATCGACATGTGCCACGGATAACGACGTCTGTCCTAGAAACATCACATCTTTCCAATCCAGATCGACAGGTGCCGCGGATGCTGATCCGACGTTGCGTCACAGGGTCTGTACATGATGAGACATCAGCATCGTCATAGACAGCACATCTTTCCAATCCGGAGCGACATGCGCCGCTGACGGTGATCCGTCATTGCCTCACGTGGCCCCTGTCTACGAGACGAGACGTCGGCAACGTCCTCGACAGCACATCTTTCCAATCCAGATCGACACGTGCCACGGATTATCATCCGACATCGCATCACATGGTGTCTGCAGGATGATGAGACTTCAGAACCGTCATAGACAGCACATCTTTCCAATCCGGATCGACGTGCGTCACCCTACGGGCGATCGAAAAATAAGAGCGCATCAGCAATCAGCAAATCACGCAGGGAGCCGTTTCCGCTTCCGCGTCTGGCCAAAGGAATGTCGCAGTTTGACTGCACCAGTGCGACAACCCGCTGCACGTTCTTCCAGTCGCCGCAAGCGAGTTCGGGCAGTCGCGCACAATCGATGACGGTGCCCTGTCGCAGTGTCACTCCCTGCGAAGCGGTGCTAGTGATGAACTTGGCGTGCGACACCTGAAACCCGCAGCGTCTGATCACGTACTTCTGCGTACTGGAGAATTGCATCTTCACTTCCACAGCAGGCAGAAACCACAGACTGCGCGCCAGTTCCTCCGCAGCCTCGTCGGTTTCTACATGCAGACGACAAACGGCCGCCATGGCCTGCCAATTTTTGTTGCCATCGTAGTTGCGCACGCTGACCCAGAGACTCGATGGACTAAAAACCTCACCACCGCGTGTCCGCCTGTACGCACGACGATCCTCTTCAGAAAACTCGAAATCAAAGATGGTCGCTTGCGTGTCCTGGACCAGCCCCTTCGTCCCATCCAGCTTCTCCAGAAGCCGAATTTCCATGCCTACGTGGCAAGGCAGCACGCCGTGCATGTGACCGGTTCGGTTTGGATTAGGCTGATTCAGCAACCGAAACGCAACCTCCTTGTCCAGATCGGAGCACTCGTCGGCACACTGCAGCAACACGAGCGGGACGCTCCCTCGCGCAGCGTCCAGGATAGCACGGCGGAAAAGCATACGAGACAAGGAGGCCCAATAGATGGACATGCAATAGCCAGAACGGAAGTTTTCGTGCTGGAGTCTGGCATCTGGCTTGCCCGGACCGGCATCCGTCACGAACCTCTTCTGGAAAGCCGTCCAGAGTCCTTCGGACAACTGACGGCCTGCGCGCATGCACTGCAACAGCTCGATCAATGGATCGCCATCTTTGAAACGCTTCGTGCCCCGCAGCTCGAACACATCTTGAATGTTTGCGAACACTTGCTGCGCATGCTGAACTTCTGGCGGGACATCAGAATGCAGCAAACAGCCATCCTCGTCTCTCGCCTTCAAATCATCCAGGAGCGACAGCTGAGCAGTGGGACGCAGCTGCAAGAAATCTCCCAAATGCAAAACTATGGGAACGCGACCAAAAGCACAACCAATCCGAGTGTACGTCTGCGGGTTCACATCATGACTCAGCATGGAACGATAGTCCAACATGTTGTACAACATAGCAGCAACCATGCTGATCTCCTCCAAGATCAGCACGCGACAGCTCTGCCACATTGTCCGCAACGCCTTCTCCTTGGAGCCGGCCGTCAGGTTGCCATTCGACAGGTTCTGGACCCGCATGCAAGCGGCAGCATGCACCGTCGTGGCTCGCACAGAGGACGTCGAAATGTTCTTAGCCTGTGAGTTCTTGGCAGCCACCACTCGAAGAGTCTCGCTGCCATCTTCTGGTGGCCAGATAAACAAAACAACAGGAAAGATGAGATTCTGCACCACGTGCGTTTTACCGGAACCGCTTTGTCCTAACAGAAGCATGTGATACACACCGCGCTTGTGCGGCGCCAATCGCTGTTCCTGCGTAAAAAAAGCATCGGAAAAGAAACATGCCAGCCATCAGACACACATGCACATAAACGGAACATCCGAACGCACAACCCGGCCTCATCGTAAACCGTGTTCAGAACGTCGCCAAACCGCCACATGAACAGCTCCTGATCTTCATTCAGCTTCTCGTTCGCCGGCAAAGCAAGCATCATGTCCGCCAACAGTTCGGAAGGTTTTCCATACACTGTCTGATCCGCGAATCGCACACAGTCTCGCGGCAGTCGCGGCAGCCACGCTCGCAACCGCTTCAAGTGGCTGTCGTCCGCGTCCTCCGCCTCCTCTTCGTTTGGCTTTTGCTCTCGCAGCGACTCCAGCTTCTCTGACCGATCGTCCTGAGACTTGCCGTGGACATTTTGCACAGCGTCACTCCAGAGGAACGAACTAAAGGAAAGAAGAAAAAGAAATGCAGTTCTAGACATTCATCGAAACGCCACCTCCAAGGAGCTGAGCGCCGTGAACAGAGCTTTATATTTGTGCAACTCCTTGGGTGCAGCCCGTGCCACCTCGAAAGCATCCTGCTGGAGCCAAGTCTCCTCCAGAAATTCACTCGTGTATCGGTTTTTCCTGGCTTGATAGTCTAGCTGCAGCAGCCGCCGCTGTTCGTCCGGATTCGGCCGAAAGATGATGGGCTGAAACACATGGGAGGGACATCTGGTAGCACCCTCCAGCTGCGCCTCCTCGTGCTCCTCTTCGTCGTCGACATCCGCAGCTTCTAGCTCGCGGCAGTGGTTATCTTCACGAAGTCTTGCTGCAGGTACCGATCCACCTCTCGCCTCTTCTTGGGCTTTTCCTGCCGAGCCCGGGCCAAGCTTTCCAGATTGACTACTCGCTCCAGAGCTTGCATGGATGAATACATTTCCACTGTAGCTCGCGGCGCCCGCTGAGTGTCGCCTGGAGACACGACGGGCTCCTCTTCATCTTCCTCTGCCCGCGCCAGCTCCAACTTCTCCTGCATGGCAGCCTGCATCTCCTCCGTCTCCCACAGAGACGGGTACTCTTGCCGCTCCGCAAACCGCAGCCGCCCTTCGTCCGCTGCCGTCTGCGCTTCTGCAAACCATTCCAGGTACGACTCGGTAAAGGCAGTGGCAGCTGCCAGTGATCGATTGGTTGTCGTAGGCTTGCAAGGCTGAGAGAACACGGTAAATGCATCGATCACAAGGTCTTCCGTCGAAGCACCAGGCGCGGGAGACGCCGCAACTGCGTAAGGCCGGCAGTGAAGTTGTTTGTACACGGCGTTCCGTTCGCTGTCAGTCGTTAATGTAGGCATGGTGAACCCTTCGAACATCGGAACTCGAGGTTCTGAACTGATGCGCTGACAGTGCGTCTTGTACAACTTGTAAGCCGAGCTGAAGTACATATCCTGGAATCGAGGGACCGCGGCTCTGATGGAAGTCTCAGCTCCGGGAGGAAGCTCCACCCTGCACACCCACATTCCGTAGGTGGACCAGCTCATGTCTTTCAGCACTGGATGCTCCCCACGAAATAAGTAATCCTCCAAACTCGACGTGGTCACCGACAAATAGCCCGCTGTCTGCGGAAAGCAATCGACCGCCATGACCGGAGCATCTTCACCTCAACAGTCGGTCGAGCTCAAAACTCGCTTAAGCTGCACGCCTTTATTCCAGTTTTCCAAGAGGTCAGTTCCCGAACTTCCCAATACGGGTCATCCAGCAAGTTGGCAGCTCGTGCTCAAATGGACTATACATTTTTATGCCACACATCCAAGAAGTTGCATCCAGAAGTTCCCAATACGGGTCATCCGGCAAAATGCAACCTCGCGTCTGTCCGCTAATCTATCTTTACCGCCATCTAAGACGTAGAAATAAACAACACTATCACAACGCCAAGACGACCGAAACAAACTGTCGCAACACGTCAGCCGGCCTGTCTCCCGCAAAGACCTCAGATTCGTCTCGAGGCCCTCGTCCTCGGCATCGGGGTCTGCTAGATTCTCCTGGACAGCGTGTTGATTCAGGAGAGCCTGCACGAACGTCAGCTTGTGCTGTGGCAACTTGCACAGTTGTCGAGCTGCTTGATGCTGCTCGAACACCTCATGCACACTGCTGCATATCTGACCTTCGGATCCAACGAACAACTGAAAGCTTTCGCCCGTCAGCTCGTCCTTGCGCTCAACTTTTCGCCAGCCACGCAGAAGCAAATCATCCAAGCCTTCCCGACAATAAATCACAGGTTCTCCTTCTTCGCCATCAGCAACACCGCCACGCAGCACGCTGTCTCCATAACAACGCCTCCATGCCTCCAGGCAGAAGAAGATGGCTTTCTTGGTGTACAGTTTCCAGGTGCGATGGGAAGCATACGTCAGATGCCCGTACAACAAAGGAAAGATTACTTCTGCTCCGCTTTTCCAGTGACACCTCCGATACGAGGAACTCAAGCGACTCAAGTCCTTCGCGCACGAAGCTTTTCCCGGCTTTTCCGCGTTCTTGCTCCAAAAACGCTCGATGCCTGTCGGACACACATAACAACTCAACGAACAGCGGACGAAGCGCAGCAAAAAACGTCAGCGGCAGTTTATTTTACTACCGTAGCCTCGACGAAGCTCCTCCAGCACGCCTCCCAATCCCTGATTCGGCTTCGTGTCGTATCCTGATCAAGAAGACAAACACAGCAAGAACACGGTTCACACATCTCTCTTTAACAGTTCCTACGGTAAGTGCATTTCTTTACCGTCCTGCCCCCCCCCCCTCCACCAATCTTCTTCCTCCATCGCAACCTCTCAACCATCTCCTATTTCCATTCTAGCATTCTATCACCTATCACCTGGAGCACAGTTACTAACGCCCAGAGTCTGTTCACGTAAAAGCGGCTGTTGATGCCATCTGCGAATGCTTCGCTGATTCCACAGCGAATGGCCTTGTCCAGGTCGATCTCCCCGTCTGCCTCTGAAGAGGAAGAAGAGCTAGACGAGGAAGTGTTCCCGGCGGTGTCGGCTTCCCAATACGGGTCACGCGACTCATCTCTTGACTTCCTGCCTCGATGCGCTTGCAACCAATCTTCCCGAAACCCGGCTGCTAGCCGTCGTCGAGATGCCCAGGACACAGACACGGCTGAGAACGGCGAACGCGACTCGTACTCTGTGCCGTTCCACTCGTACTCGGCCATGTAGCCAAGTTGCTTAGCCGGACCAGCGATCTGAGGCAGTCTTTCACTCGCCCTCAGCCACAAAGCGGGATCGAGCACGCGCCGCATGTCCTGGACGTCCAAATTATGCCTGCCCGCGACGGTGCCGCCGTAGCAGGTCTGCACTTCGAAAGGAGTCAATTGAATCGGACGCATTTTGCCGGCGGAGCCAAACTCCATCTCTGCAGCACTGCCAATGTGAATGACGGGTCGCAGCGGCTTGCCTTTGCGACGTGCTCGGCAGCCTTCACACAAAACGACCACGTGATAATAGCCGTGCCGACAGATCTTCCATCGAGTCGCAGAGGAATCCGAATACTTGTAGCACGACTCGCTGCACATGTGCTTCAGGAGCGAAGGAGCCAGATCGTGCAGATCCTCGCGCATTACAAGACTCCCACAACGAAGAAACTCGATTGCGAACACCATTCAGGATCTAGACCGCACTACGTGAAATGCCTAGGCGCCTGGCAAAACGCCAACTGCCACGCATCGGCATCAGCTGCCGGGTCTGCTTCAGCGGCGAGCACACTCCGCAGGCGATAGCCTGGAGTCTGCGCCACTGGCAGACAGTTAATCGGAGAAGTGAAAATCGACGAAGCGCCGCCTGTCGAATCCTCCAGATGCATTTCGGGTCGCTGCCAGTCCTCTTCTGAAGAAGCACGAAGAAATCGTTGCTGGTCTTCGGACAAGTCCGTCATCTCTCTCAACAAATCCAAATCGCACCCGCCATCATACTTGCACAAGTTGCGCGCCACAGAGCTGACGCCGAAAATGCGCGGCGCAGCTTGCACCGATGCATGGGCTATGGATTCGAAGCTGGCGACTGTCATGCGCATGAAAGTTCGGAGGCGTTCTTGAAGCACATGTTTCTCTTCGCGCAGCATTCTCGCCAGATCGCTCACAACTTGCATATGACGACAAACGAGCCAAACCAAAATGTGAGGATGCAAAGATCCCCGACCCTGAGCTTCGATTTCGCCGCGGAAAGCCAGAATGGGACCCAACATGCCAGCACCAGTAGAAGCCGCCGCTGCACCATCGCTGCACCACTCCCTCGCTCCGCGGCGAGGCGCGTTGCGTCGGCAGTCCAGTGTGTCTGGTCGAACATTCAGGACATGCTGGAAAAACAGACGCATCAAAAGCTCGAACTGAACGGTCTGAGCCACAGGATCCTGTGCCAAGCGTCGCAGCATGTCCCGATACTTTGGCAAGACTGTTTCCATATCTCCGTTCACAGCACCCAGATCGACGACTTCCCCTTGAACCACCAGAAGCAACGGATGCTGAGTATCCGCTACGTTTGGAGTCAGGAAAATCAACGGAGGTCCGAACGCTTCCATGTAAGCGACGCCCTCGTGCCGACACAGTCGACGATGACCATCGGTGCCCAACACTGTGGCAGAAGCCGCATTCATGGCGTGCAACGCATCCTTCACTGTCTGCGGCACTGCAGCTTCTTTGAAGAACTGATCCGTACCCCCGGCCTGCGGCGCGGCGCGGGCGGCACTGGCGAGATCCTCTGCGCTGAGTTCCCGTAGTTTCTTCGCAAATGCCATGCCACCGTTTTTCAGGAAATTGTATGCAGCAGAGCGTTGATCAGTCAAACGAGACACAGTCGCCATCATGTGTAATGCTGTCCAATCGCCGGAGAAACGATTTTGCGTGGGCTGGCTCCCCAATACGGGTCGCACTGCCTCCGAAGGATCCGACGCGGGCTGACTTCCCAATACGGGTCGCAACGCCGCATCCCCTTCATCAGGCTCCCCGTCGACAGCATAAGCAAGCTCTTCGCGTAAAAGCAGACAGGCGGCCCACTCGGAAGTAGACAGGTTTGTGTCCCTCTCGAAGAGATATCCAGCATCACCATATCGCCACAACCTCGGCTTGGCCATCGTCCAAATCTTCCAATCCCACAAACTCAATGGCTGCTTGCCACGTGCCACCAACAAATGCGCAGCCTGACCGTCCTCCTCCGCTGCATCTCCATGCACATGATCTGCTTCCGGCGCAGGCCGATCATCCTCCTGTTACGCAACACGTGGCGCGACAGCTGCTTCCGAAGCATTCAACCATCGAGACTTGCCCATGACGGCATCTCGCAACTCGCGCTCCAGACGACTTTGCTTCTCCGCAGCGGAAAGTTGCCTGCAAGACTCGTGAATCTGGAGGCAGAGTTCCAGAATGTGTTGGCGGCCCAAGTGATCCACCAGAGTGCGCTGCTCCTCCGCCATAGTTTCCATCTCCAGAGCAACAGACCGAGCGCCAGCATCTTGCAGTTCTTCCAACTTCTGCAACATGCTCACGACCAGCATAGAGATTTCTCGGCCGCGGGAATTGAAGTCCTCCACCTGCGGCTCCATGGCGAGCACGCAGGTCTCGGACTCGGAAGAATCTCGAGCGCGCTGGACAACTTCAGTTGCCTCCGCTGGCCCGGTTTGCCGAACCACGCCGGGCCCGTCCTCGCCAACAGGAACAGCCACCACACAGTCCAGCACCGGAGGAGGCACGACAGATTCCTGCAATCTTTCGATGCGATCTGCGTTTCTTTATGTGACATGTGCTTAGCAGACAAGACAACACTGACAAACGAATAAGTCCTCGCTGGAAAACCATTCAGCCAACAGCTCTCGATTGATTTCGGCCACGCCACTTCGATAGACCGGGTTCGTCTCTCGCAAAGCTTCAGCTTGCTGGACAAACTCCTGCCTGTGAAGCTGCAGCCGCGCTATTCGGCTCACCGTCGCCCTGCTTTGCTCCTGCATTCCCGCGCTTGGCAGGTCCACGCAAAAGGATACTGCCAAAGCGTCGTTGAGCTTAGTAGGTGGCAAGCTCTCCAGCGCATACTCGGCATCCCCGTTATGGAAAACAACCGCAGATCCCACCAAACCGGACTGCTGAAAGACGTAGTCCCACGAGTTGCTCGGCCTGTTGCTGCTCTCGGTTTGAGAGGCGCCGCCAGCGCGCAACACTACTTTCGTGGCAACAGTCCTCGCCAACGCCAGACACATTTCGTGTGTCATGTTGGCTTTCCAGAGTAATGGATCGGTTGCACAGATCGTTCGCCAGGGCGTATTTGCAAAGCCAAGGCTTCCGCCCCGAAAAAGCCTCCACGCAATCTTCACATACAGCCGCAGGAGAATTCCCCCGCGCCATATCACCCGTTACTCGGCGTTTGTGCAGCAAGACAAGAACAGGACATCGAGCCGTGCCCACGTCGACACTCGAGGCTTCTAACTCCTGGCAGCAGTGAACACGCGCAAATCCCACCCCGGACCCTCGTGCTGGCCTACATCACGAATCACAGACACTGCCAAACCCGTCCTTCGTCGGAATGAGCGGCCATCTCTCGTGGTAACGTTTGACGGACAACATCTCCCAGACAGTTTCTGCCGCTGCCATAAAACATTTTGGTCCCTTCAAAAAACACTCTTGCATGGATTCGCGCCAAAAGCACCTTGCACAGAAAGCACATCCGATCCGCTCCCGCGCGCACGACAGCGCCGATGCCTCCCAGTCCATGGCGGACCGACGCAAAAACTCGGCGTAGTTGCTCACATAGTGTAGCACTTCGGAGCCTGCAACGATGTGCGGACACAAGGACTCCAGGTGCAGGTAAGCGTTCCGATATCTCTGCAACCCTCCATGCATTTCGTCGATGTGAGCCAGAAGTTCTTCCCGCACCGCGAAGCCGACGCCGTCACAGAGGAGACAAGGCTGCTCCGCCAGTTGAAGCGGCTTCTGCGGCCACATCATCAGCTTCTCCTTGCCCTCGTGCACATGCAGCCGAGACGCATGCTGAAAGCGCTTGAAAGGGTTGTCCGCCTCATTGGCTTGGTCGCCCCTGCCGCCGTCCAGATTGCTGGACCAAGCTCTGGCCGAAAAGACTTCGTCTTGCCGCTGGCTTCGCGACCATCTTGCCGGCCAGACCACTCCTGGTTCCGGCCAGACCGCTCCTGGTTCCGGCCAGACCGCTCCTGGTTCCGGCCAAACCGCTCCTGGTTCCGGAGGGCTCCTGGTTCCGGCCAGACCGCTCCTGCTGCTGGTTCCGGCCAGACCGCTGCTGGTTCCGGCCAGAGCGCTCCTGGTTCTGGCCAGACCGCTGCTGGCAGACCGCTCCTGTTCCGGCCAGACCGCTCCTGGTTCCGGCCACAGCGCTCCTGGTTCCGGCCAGACCGCTCCTGCTTCTGGCCAGACCGCTCCTGGTTCTGGCCAGACCGCTGCTGGTTCCGGCCAGACCGCTCCTGGTTCCGGCCAGAGCGCTCCTGGTTCTGGGCAGACCGCTCTTGGTTCTGGCCAAACCGCT